ACCATAAAAACAGAAACAGCTCCAGAACTAGCTCAATTGTATCTAGATGCAGTTTTTGTGAATCATGGCTTAAGCAAAGTGTTAATCACGGATAGAGTTACTCACTTCACTAGTTTATTTTAGAAAACTTTGTTTAGTTTTTTCAAAACAAAACTAGCAATGTCAACTGCCTATCACGCTAAAACTGATGGACAAACGGAGAGGGCAAATAGAACCATACAGTATATGCTATGAGCATTCACATTAGAAAAGCAAGATGAGTGGGACAACCTTTTGCCACTTGTGGAATTTGCATATAACAATTCTATTAATGCATCCACAAAAGTGTCTCCATTTTTTCTTATGTATGGAGCTCATCCTATAACTCCTTCAAGTTTGATAAGACTTCCCAAAGGAGAGGAGTTTTCGACCAAAGTTGCAGCAATTAACGAATTTGTGGAGCATATTCAACGAGGACTACATCAGGCCAAGGAGAAGTTGGTGATAGCTCAAAATCGGCAAAAGCAGCATGCCGATGCTCATCGCAAAGAAGTGGTTTTTGAGGTTGGAGATCATGTTTGATTATCTACAACAAATTTGTCTCTTGTAGGAACACCAAAGTTGAACCCTAGGTTCATTGATCCATTTTTGATTTTGAAGCGTGTTGGTGAAGTGTCATACAAGTTGGAACTTCCGTCACATATGAAAATACACCCAGTATTTCATGTGTCACGATTGCGAAAACATGTAACACGACCAAAACAATTCACCAACCAACCAGCACCACCTCCTCTTCCAACCTTGATAGCACATCATGAGAAGTATGAGGTAGAAAAGATACTCAAGAAACGTATTCGAGGTCATAAATATGTCAAAGTAGAGTATTTGATTCAATGGAAAGGCTATCCATCGTATGAATCAACTTGGGAACCAGCTAAAAATTTAGCAAATGCATCTTTGATAGTTCAAGAGTTTGAACGTATGTGCAACGAGGACGTTGCATCTTAAAAGGAGGGAGGTTTGTAACCATCTTTGGTTAGTTAGTTTTAAAGTATAGGTTACTCTAAATATTGTTTTAGATACTTTAGTGTGCACTAGTCATAGCTGCCACGTCAGCAATCCGCGCACTTGGTAGGTATAAAGTGGACGTGTTAGTTTACAGTGCCACGTCAGCAATCCGTGTGCTTGTAGGTAAGGATTGAGTGTGTTAGTTAGTGTGTTAGTTGGGAGCGCCACGTCAGCGATCCGTGTGCTTGTTAAGGTTATCCACCACGTCGTCCATCCACTAGGAGTGGGATGGATCATGGGGATAAGATCTTATTTCCTTGTACTTGTTGGTGAGAGCTATTTAAGGGAGAGGAGAACCATTGTTGGTATCTCTCATCTTCAGAGTTTACGTTTCTATCTTCGAGTGAGCTTCTCTCTAAACCCTAGTGTTACATGACATCTCCAATGATGGAGATTCAAGTTCCGGTATCGATGACGTCGTGCCATCGCGAAAGGTGATCCAAATTTTTTTTTGCAAGAGCGACATCAAGTCTGCGGTGCTGCCGCAGCCGTCACAGCGAGCGAGCAAACAAAAGAGTCAACTGGAGCCCAACCACAAAAAAGTAGGTTTCCGATGGGAGTATCAATGCAGCCGGTCAATTTGCGAGATTCGCTGCTGAAGTGCTCGGCTTGCGAGCAGTCCATCGCGCGAGGGCTTCTCCGAATCGTCAAGATGGAACTTACCAATGTTGCGCGAGGTTATACGAAGGAGCGATCGTATCACAATCAAGCGGACTGCTTGATGTCTTTGTGGAATGCGGAAAGAAATTTCATCAAGCAATAAACTATGTTAACGATGCTAACAATGATGTCCTCATATGATTCACCCATTGGATGCCCATATGATTCGTACAATCGAACATTATACCCAAAATTTTGTATTCAATGGAAAATATAGCACAAATCGTTCACTGTGTTTCATGCTAGAGCAATCGATGTGCACCCTTGCTGTGCAGTTACTTGGGTGTATAGCTTGACATTTCTTGGGTGTGTGCAGTTTAAACTGCCTGGGTGTGTGTTGGGTGTATATACACTAAAATCAATATCACCCTTTTTCTTACAAAGATATTCCATGAGTTCATTTACATGATATCCGACTAATACTTCAAGACTATTGTGAATGATCACCTTATATAATCTAGGTGAAACCTAATAGATAACGTAGGTATACAAGCTAAGACATAAATTCATCACGTATAGAAAGTTCTAATTTTTTTATCATAATGAGTATCCCCACCAAGAAATTAGAGATTGTGGAACTTTTTTACCATAATTGCTTGTAATTGTTCATTATCACTTACAGATGATATTTTTTTTCTCAATCAGTATCAGTTGCTTGCAAAAAAATGCAATTTTGTTGAACGATCTTTTCTTGATTATCCCAATCAGATGAAGGAAAGGAACAACCTTGTTTGTGCAAGAATATTAGCTCCAACAGCAGGTAAACACTCTGATACTAATTCTTGAACTGAATACACACAAAAGCACAAAAAATCACACGAGTACACGAGAAAGTTAATGTGGTTTGTCACTCGGCTACGTCCATGGTAACACAAATTTTACATTCAATATTTAAGGGGGCAAGCAAGTTTTCACTATTCTTAGCAATCAGAGCCAAAATTCTAATTCATACTTGATCAAAATCTAACTGAAAGCTGAAGTAAGTTGCAACCTAACATCAAAGTTTTTTTCAAAATAGTTTTTTTTGTAACTTGTAACGTTCAACATTTCAAAATAATTTATGCATAAAATTTCAAGATTTTTATCTATATATTCATTTTCAGCCATATTTCGGAATTATTTTAAAATCTTAATGTATTATAAACCATTTGATATTTTATTTATTTTATTTTACTAACTTATGACTTTTATCATTGTATTCAAATTTTTATGACATAATTGGTTTTTTAACAAATTTTTGAAAGCTTTTTTGCGCATATGTTTAATGTTCATTTAATGCAATAACAGTTCATATGCATCGTACTATATTTTACTATACATCGTACTATCCTTAAAAATATTGTCATGAATATCATGATAAAAAAGCTATTACGTGATTTTAAATGCAAAAATGATTTTTTTTTAACAAGTTTGTATAAACGTTGATCCCCCTTTTACTCAAGTCTGAGCTAGTAAAATGTTGCATTTACAATTAGATATTATTATGAAGTTTTAACATATTTCAGAATTTTCAATATAATTTGAGTTTTTTCGCCTATTGATTTGATTCTTGTTGCTTAATACAAATTATTTCGAAGGTTACTTCTGCTGTCAATTTCATATATTTGAAAAATTAATATACATGTGTAATGTGTTGATATATTAATGTGTATAGTCTTGTGTGAGATCCATAAGTGTCTTGAATGACTATCAATTTCTGGTATTTTTATGTTACTAGCTTTTTTAAATCACTATATTAAGTTAGAACTATGTGGTTGCAAATTCCCATTTTATCTATGATTTTTTTGAATATTTATTATTTCATTCCTTGATTATCTAAAAAAATATGACTCAAATCCGCATATTAAAAGATTTTACAGTAAGTTTTACAAAAATTCATTGAAATAATTAGTGTGATGAAATCATCAACCTTTTTATGAAGCTTTAACAGCTTTAATTATCCTGATACTACATGAAAGAAGTTCACTCAAATGCTATAAGTGCGAAATAACCATTCATACCTTAATACTTAGAAAGACAAATTCTGAAAATAACTTTTTACTTGTAAATTATATATAATAGAATATCATAACGGTTGGGATCTATAATTACATCACATACTAGATTTTTCAATTAATATACTAAATTCTGTATTAAATACGGTTTATTGAAATTCGTATATAGAATATTTTTCTTATGTCCATTTAATTTAATAAATGTAGATATATCGATTCTTTTAAAATAAGAACTATTTTATAGATGTAAAACTTCATGGTGCCACAGCAAAAAAATTTCATGTTATCACGTACGTACTTTTAGATGTACCGATGGCCATCAAAATTCAGCTATGTATCTACTCAAGTGAAAATAACTCAAAGCTTGTTGAAATGTCAGTGCTTCCTCTTTCCCTTGTCAGTGAATTGATTATAATCTGGATTAGAAATTTACATGCAATTACAAGTTGTAAGGATCTTATTTCGGAGTTTTAATCAATCACGTTTACTCTCAGAATTTGTATCACTTTTCTAAGCTTTTCTTGACCTTTTCTGCCGTAGTTGTTTCTTTCTCATTTTGACTTGATATTTTGTGAGAAGTCAAGTGCTTTCGGCCTCATCCTTTTTCTGGCTTTCAGGTCTCATGATTTCTGCCATAATTGGTATTGTTCTCACTTTGCGCAAAGGTTGGGGTCAGGGTTTGAATTGAGAACCAAAAGCAAAGGTTTCAGACTGCCAATTATTCACATTTTTAGAAAATATCCTCAGGAACTTGTCACATCGTTAGTAAAACATTAAAAAACGACATTCAGAGACACGTGGAAAAACAAACGCTATGACACAAAGTACCTAAGTAAGCGCAACCTACAGCCTGCGAGTAGACGTCACAACGACTACTTTGCTACAACGGATAGCCTGCTGAACGTTGGCCTGACGCGCGTCCGAGTCCGAAGGGAGTCAAGGTAGCAAACCATGAAAGCTGAGGGGTGCGTGAGGCCGTTTTGCTGTCCCTCGTGCCAGGTACGATCAATTTGCTGGTCAAAGATGCCAGAAACCGGACATCGGGCGATGACTGCATGCGAATTATTTCTCAGAATAGTGTGTCTGTTCTTCCAAGTGGAAGAAGTCTTCGGTGAACTTGGGAGAAGCTCTGTCGATCCACAACTCTTTACTCTCACGTGATGGCGGGGGCAGGACTGTTGCAGGGGCAGGGGAAGCCCGTGATGTGCAGGCAGAGCAGATCGTGGCGTTCAACCCAGAGAGAGAGAGAGAGAGAGAGAGAGAGGACCGGGACGCTGTTCTCGAGATGATTTCCTGTAGTCACAGATTCCTGACGAGAAGAGAAGCCTTCGACGATGTTGGGAGCAAGGCGCTCGCTCGATCGTATCGTTGATGTGGAGCGGATTCAAATCGAAAATCGCTAGGACAGTGCTCGGACTGTTGATCTCCAGGAGAACCTGGTTTAGGAAGGAAGGCCAGGAGTGGGTGAACTAGAAGATGCTCCACCACTCCCCGTGACTTGCTATGCGAGTACGAGCGAGTGGATAATTTCCTAGAATGACAGGAAGCACCATCGGGCTCGGAGAAGGTAACAGAAAAATAAAATCGCCCTACCGTAAAGAAAAGCCCGTGCCGATGAGGCCCGTGCCAGAGGACCCCGCCACCGAGCTGCATGACCAACTTTCGAAGCTCGTGTGTACTACTCACTCACTCACTCATTCACTCGACCGTGTTCGTTGAAGAAACGACAACGGGCGGAAAGAGGTGTCTCGACTTCCGTGCATGCGATGCGATGGAGAGCCTTCGGTGCTCCTCGCTCCTCTTTTTTGACGCTTTTCCTGCTGCCCCGAATGCAGATTGGCCGGCCCCATTCGCTGCTGGCCTCGGAGCAAGGCGACGCCCGATCCATACAACCATACAACAGACAGGGGGGAGTCGAGATTCTGCGAGAGAAGAAGAGGGGAAACTGCAAGTGGGCCACGCCACAGTTGGCATGCTGCAAGATGCCGGCGTGTTGTAGCCCCGGACAGCTGGTCAGGAGATTAGCAGTCGTTCAGGTCAGGTCAGGTCAGGCTCAGGCTCAGGCGCTCGCTCGCCATTGAGGACCAGCCACAGCGCCCCCTGTACCTGCTGCTGCAGCTTTTGTACAGAACAGTACGATGCACTGATGCACTTGTGATCTGCTGAGCTGAGCTGAGCCGAGCACAGCCCAGCAGAAGACGCAGCTTATCGTTTGTCGAGAAACGATATCCCAAAGATTCGTGGAATCTATCCCCAGTCTAAAATTTACCTGAAGATCTGAACGGACGAATTTCACCCATGAATGCCGATGACTTGCTGTACAAAATGCTTCCACAATTCCTCGGCATTGCATCAGCAGCGACCGGTGCATGCGAGAAGGAATCTCAGGCGAACAAACGCGGAGATACTATGTGCAAATTCAACACAATGTCAGAGCAGAGAGAGAGAGAGGGGCATGTGTAGATTTGCACAACGGTTTTTTGCGTATGTATTGTAAGAGGGTACGTGAGGTACCCGTCGGTAAAAGTACAATAGGTGGCTCAGACACAATCCACGAGGACAGTGCTCATATATGTTGGCGAATGAACTTGAAACTCTAGACAGACAGAGAGCTAGTGCCCCACAACTACTTTCGTCGAAAACTGACGACTGACTTGTGACTTCCCGCAGAGAAAGAAAAAGTACTCGAAAAAATAGAAGCAACTCAATACAAACCAATACGTCTACGTCGACGACAAGCAAGAAAACCTTGATCCATCGATTCTTCCCTTCCCTCCCTCTCCCTCTCCCTCCCCCTCCCTTCCTTTTCCCTCACATTTGCTTGCAGATCCTCTCGGATTCCTTCCCTCCCTCTCCTGACTTACGCGCCCAAGGGATACGTACATGTCCCGAAACCTGCATTCACAAACAGATCACACAAACTGGATCAGAGATCGATTTGCGTATTCAATGCCATCGTACTGTACAATGTACCTTGTAATCTGCAGTCCCCTGAGTTTCTGACATGCGAGCAATGTCGGACGACACAGACAGGGAGAGAGAGAGAGAGAGAGAAACTCGGGGCATAGGAAGGAAGGAAGGGCAGGGCAAGAAAGGAGCAAGCTTCTCACTCGGATCCACCGTGACGATCCTTCCGGTGTCGTTGAAGAAGCAATTCCAGTAGTTGCGATTGTTGATTTGGTAGTAGCTGTTGTAGGCGAACGAGGCGTGGTTGACGAGAGTGTTGGGATCGAAGCAGGCCTGGCCAGCTTGGATGGGGCCACAGTTGGCCTGGCCCTCGCTGCAGGCGAAATCGATCCCGACCTGCAGAGCTGCGGGATCCGCCGTCTCCTTGGCCACGCACCACGAAGCCACCACGGGGATGCCGGGAGTCGTCGGGGGAGGAATCGGCACGGGCGGCGATCCGCCGGGAGTGGGAGTCACTGGCGGAGGAATTGCAGGCACCGTCGGGGGCACACCGGGGACCACTGGTGGAGGCGGCGAGACGGGGATCATCGGCGGCAGGCCTGTGGCTGGGGGCGGAGACGGAGGCGGCGTGGTGCTGGGAACTGTATTCAATCCCGAGCTGTAAACCGCAGCGCCGCTCGACAGGAAGAGCCCGAAATTGCGCTCGGATGCCGGCCCAGGCTTCAGATTCTCGTTGTAGAGGGCGAAGATGTACGTCTCCACTGTGACATTGGGCCGGGCCGGGGTCCCCAATCCGGAGTCGATGTGCTTGATCAGTCCGCTGTTGTACAACTGCGCGTTGGCGATGGTGGCGCCGACCTCGTCGGGCTCTCCAGCCGAGGGCCATCCGGTCTCCGTCACCATCACCGAAATGTTGGTGTACCCGCTTCGCCCGAGCGCTGCGTAAATGGCGTCGATCTGCGCATCGAGCATGTTGGAGTACATGAGGTTGGCCGTCTTGTCCTTGACGGGAATGGCCGTGGGCTGGAACAGAACGTAGTCGAGCGAGATGTTCTTCGGATTGGCGCCATAGGCGAAGTATGGGTACGCATTGATCATGAATGGGGACCCCGTCTCGGCCAGGAACGAGAGCATGGGAGTGATGACCTCCGCATGGCGAATGTGGAAGGTGCCGAGCGACGGCGGGAAGGATTTGGCGAGAATGGCCAGAGAGTGCGGCGTCGACAGCTTGACCTTGTCGCTCAGATTCACAGCGACGAGGGCGGCGTGCAAGTTCTTCAGCGCAGGCAGCAGGAGCCCGTCGAGCTCCGGGGCGTATGACAGCACCTCGTTGCCCAGGCAGACGGCGACGATGGAGGTCTGCGGGTACGCGACGATGTTCGCATTCACCCACTGGACGGCGATGGCTGGATCCGAGGCCAGGGGCGTGATCTGATCGTTGCCAGCGCCGATGATGAAGTCGATTCCGGACCCTGCGAATGCGTTCAGGGTGGCCGGGTCGGCGTTGTAGAGCTTGATTTTGTTTATGGTCGTCGTTTTCACCAGCGCCAGCACCGTCGCTGGAGCCGGCAGATCACTGGCGACTTGCCCATAGTTGATTCCAATCGCGCCCGCGGCTGCAGAGCGCACAAACACTTCAAGAATTCAGATTCGACGACAATGCAACAAAGCGAGGACGCTCCAGGAATGCAATCGCTCAATCTACACTAAGAGCTCGACTGTCTGCCTGCCTGCGGCCCGACGGACTGACAGATTCGATTCTGTGGCTGATTCAGCTGCATTACATCAAAACAGAGCTGCACCAGCTCACATAGCCAGAAAGACATTCATTCATCATGAAATTCCGGAGTTCGTTGTCTCATCATTCAATCCTCAATTTTCCAGAGACAATTGGAATCTTTGAGTGGACAGGCGGAGGCACATCTGACGACCAAACGTAGAAATTGCGGATGTAGGGCAAGCCAGGAGACGATGCATTGGACTCACATGAAACCACGACTGAGAAAGCACATAGCAGCGTCAGAAACTGAGCCATTCTGGCCATCCTGCTGCTCCACTGGAGTCGGCCAGGTCCGCGGTTCCTGACTGAAACTGAGTCTGATACTGCCGCTGCCTCTGCCACTGCCACTGCTACCACCTGAGAGCAATCCCTCGATGTCTGATTCAGTCAGACTGGCTCTGAGGACCAGAGCTCTACCGAATGCTAATGCTCCCCATCTCTTGACGAGGAAGAGCTCTGAGCATTACAAGTAGTGTCCGAGCAGCTCAGAAGTCACGCTGACCGACCTCCCAGTGTCCACTCCTCTGACTCCTCTCTTCCTGAGCGACCTGAATACCCGGAGCGAGTCATTATTATTGACTGAGGGCCGAGCGCCTCGCTAGAGGCCAAACGCAGTTGCCTTTAGCACTGTCCATCACTCACTCACTCTCACTCACACTCTCTCTCTCTCTCTCTCGCGCACACACAAAAACACACACCCTCTCCCTCACTCGCTCACTAGCCTCCTCCTTTCCGTTCGTCGTCTCCTGCAGCACAAGGACCCCACCATTCTCAAATTTTCACTGGCCCAGCAGCAGCTGCGGTCGGCGCCCCCTACACGACAGCAGAGGATCGTTTATCCCGGTAGATGAGGAATATAGAGCAGGGGCGAGCCACAATTGGAAACAACGGTCACTCGTCCGGCAGTAGTACTACTACACGAGCTCGACCGAATTCCGCACTGGGCCTGGACGTCGAGGCCCACTCTGTATTCTAGTATTTCCGATCGTCCACCAACTCTCAGAATTATTCCCTCGAGATCGAGCACCGAAGAGCGTCGTCAATGTTGGGTCCGATCCTGCCTTCCAACACTCCATGCAACTGCCGGCCCACCGTCGGATCGCCATACTCGAGGATCCGAGACCGTGGCCGCGAATGTTCGGAAGCTTGACGTGAGTATGTCCTGCTCAGACACACAGATGAAGATTAGCACCACCTCCAAACTGAGCCCGAGCAGGCGAACGGGATGAAGGGAAAGCAGGCGATCGGGGACGGAAAGCGTCGTATTCCCCAACCACTGGTGCTGGTTCTACGTCCACCATCAGCAGCAGTGCAGCACCAGCACATACCCGACTTCAAGGCTTTCCCTTCCAGACTGGCTAGCTGGCGGGCGGGCGGGTTGGGTGTGCTGTCCGTTTCTTCTCTTTTCACGGACCGGCCTGGTTATTGCGACATGGCACCGAAGCATTTAAGAATCTCAAGCCGGAAAGAGACTTGGAGCTTGGAGCTCAAGTAAGGTATACATGACATGTCATACTCCGCATGTGTTTGTCGTTCCTTGTCTTTCTCTTCTCCCCAACCTCTCCACAGAATGTAAAGAATGTGAACTTGCGGCCTCTCTTCTAAACATGTTCATGCACGCGTAAGATTTCTTCACCGGGGAAAATCCTGAAGGGGAAGGGTCGAGCTAGAGTCGAGCCGTACATGGATGAAACCAACATGTTCATGGCATGACATGAATTTGTCGCCGGTCCACAATTACCTGCTCAATCAGCCACGCTTTCTTCCAGCTGCTTCTTCCGAAAGTGGAAATCTCTCCCTGCTTAACAACAAACGAACAAACCCGGATCACAGAACCAGAAACGCATCACGCGTTTCTGTTCTATTGAGCTCATGTGTAGGTTCGAGAACGCAGCGTGGTATGGAACTTTCTGCTTTGCTTGCCCCATCGTTTGTCTCGGCGAGCACAGTCCCCATATCAAGCTCCAGCCTCCAAGGGAAGTAGGCTGAGCGAGCTGAGATTATACGTCTTTAGCGGTGAGAGGAAAGCATCAGAAAGCTGTGCTTCAACGATTCTTCTGCTTGGGCTGCCCACTGAAAGTATTGACAAATTTGAATTTCGATTATCGGAGTCTTTTCCGTGTTCTGCAGAAGATGCTGTGGGCCTTGACATCTTTTGCAGACATTCCTGAAGACATGAACGGACAAGTTTTGCGATGACCGATGTCGGATGCCAGCACGAAACTAATAGGAAATCCCCACCAGTACAAAAATCCTCATTTTCCATGAGCCCATACCACCCCCCTTCTCCCCCCGCCCGGCATAACGCGGCCAGCCTTAGAATCCTTGGCCTGGGTGGGAAGAGGGGCCAAGTGGATAGCAAAAACGATGAACATTAATCTGACCGTTGTGTGTGCTCATGCTATGTTGGAGCAAGGTAGTGGACTATATCCGCTTGACACAGATGGAAGATATGAAAACACTGTCACAGTGGCAATCAGATATCGCTCGATTGAATGATGGAATATTTTACGTACAGTATGACATCACAAGTGAATAGTTTCCACCAAAATTCGTAAGCGAGTAAACTATTACGACATTCTTAATTCTTCAAAGCTTTCTTTCTTGCGCGGCATAATATTTTCACTGTATTTATTTTCCTTTTCGTTTCGATTCTTTATTTTTGAACATGCAAATATCTTCAATGTAAATGTCGAGCAACAGTATTGGTCTTTTGTGCGAGGGGGCTTTTGCAGACTTCCAAAGTCGCACAATAATGAGTGTCCAGTTCCTCACTTTTTCTCGTTTGCATGACTTGCCATCAATTTGTCTGGAGAAGTGCCATCAATTTAGCTTCCCACACCGAAACTATCCGAAACGTGATTCGTGCACAGTACGTTCTGTTGCATCCAAATCTATAAGCTTTAATGAAAATTCACACGGTTCCAAATTGTCTGTTCGGGTGGACAAAAGTTGTCACGATAAGGAAAAGTGGACTGTGAAGCCGCGTCCAGCGTCTCATGCCAAAGCTTTTGCGATATGAACAAATTTTTAATCGAGAACATTAGTTGTGTACATTTGGATGGAAGGGATATATGTCGCATGTGATATTTGCTTCCAAAGCTTTCATTCCGAGCTCGTCGCGAGTATTCGAAAGATGATCCTATCTCAGGGTCCAAAATGATAGCTCACGTACCATGCCGTTATTACACAGTACTCTGACTCCAAATATTACAGCAGCACATTGTAAAGTACGTTGGAATATGGTCTGCTTCCCATGTAAACAAGGACAGTGTCCTCGGAAGTGTTTGATAATGTATTTGATTCTTTTTCCTCAGCCAATACATTCGAGAGGAAACCTGATAATTTCATTTCTGAGGAGCCAAAACAGCGTAGGTGAATGACGAACTACAAATATAACACACATCAGTGATGTGATGATCGTATAAGTATTTTGCAACATCATGAATGATGTCACATCACTCATGATGTTGCAAAATACTTATACTAATTCAAAAAATGAAATTCAAATGATGAAACTTAAATCAAGTAATTCATGATGGCGAAAAGTGGAATCGCAACGCTCAAGATAAGCAAGTAATAGGAGATAGAGAGTTCTTCTCTTAGCATAAGATATTCATGGATTTTGCAGATTCTTTTGCATTGGTTCTAGACACAAAGTCTATCATATGAACCAACAAAGTAGTACCTTAAGCAAATTTTAGAATTTCCATATTTCTCGACCTCAGTGCCCGAATTTTCGCCCTTGTACAATTTTCCGTAATTAAAAATCCTCGAATTCTTTTTCTAGACACCGCAAATCATACCAAACACAAGTTTAATTTCTGTTAACAAAAAATTCCCTCACCGTTCAAATAAAATCTACAAACAATATATATGTACACCATTTTGATGCTCTTCGAACCAAGCCCCATCTTACAAACAAAAAAAAAAGGGTTGTATCCATGTTATTATCATCTTTTTTTCCGAATTACTTGTTTGCAGGGAAGAGAGATGAAATCATACAGAAGTGTAAAGTGGATGGCTATAGTTTTCATCAATCCCGATCTCTTATAGAAAAATACGAGAGTAATCCTCAGGTATCGATAATATTACATTTTTTTCGATCACTTTTGGATAATTTCTTAAACTTACATAATTTCCACTACTAAATTTTACTTCGGTCTGAATACGTTTCCACGTGATTTGTATCTGGCTCAAAAAAAAAAAAATTAAAAAAAATGAATTTAAGCCACTTGTGACAGAGTATCAATCGCGGAGTGAGGGAAGCACTTCCATATCTTTGGTAATAAGTGTAAAGGTGGGCGCGGAGTATGGCAGCTCGTTCTTTATTTTTAAAAGTGGGTATTGCCCTGAAGTTTTGATGAGTGACGCTCCAGGTGAGAGATATATTACTCCATAATAAAACAGCCGATTCAGATGTTCCCTTGGTAGACTTCCGTATGTACGCAACTGAGCCATTCTCTCAAGTAAAAGTGGGTTAATATGCATTCCAGTTTTCTGGCATATTATTTTTAAGAGTTCAATGTCCAATGCTTTACCAATCTGTCCGACGCAATGTCGAAAAAACTGTTCATTACACTAAAGCTAAAACACGAACTAAAGAAAATTTAAGAAACTTTCGACATAAATTAAAGAAACTCAATGCCAAAACCAAAACCCTGTCTTTTCAGGAATAAATTCTAGATCCAGTTAAAGAAAAACATACAAGAATTGAAATGGAAATTGAATGGACGACATGATAGAAGCCTTTATGGATCGATGATGCAAGATGATGATTCAGATGTAAGATGATTATGGTTTCATTGCTTTCGACCTTGACCAAGATAATTTGACATCATCACCAAATCTAGAGCAAGAAGAGGTTTGATACATTGTGGTTTTCTTAGCGTCCAGAGTTGCGAGAAAGATAACTAAAAGGATGGTGGCTACATAAGATGGATATATGAAAAGTGAATATAAAATAATCTCCAAGATCCTATCTTTTACCATATAAGTTGAAAGTACATTGATTCTTGAAGAAAAACATTTGTCAAGGGGAAAAATGTTGTTAATGTGAAGAACTTAAAGCCTACTTTGAAAAATTGTTGCTCATGGAATTACGCTCCTAAACACGAGCTTGTGTCAATGATCACGATCCATTTAGAGAGAGTTAATTATTGATATATTTCCGAGTTTAATATTACATTTGTCATCCCTTGTGTCTAAATTTACCCAGTTGCCATCTTGTCGATAAACATTTATATCTCCTGGATCCAACGTGAAGTCACGATAACTGATGCAGGAACAAGTAAACTGGCGAGACCAAAAGTAGGAACCTAGTCGAGTGCAAGGCTTGAAACTCCAAATTGAGATACAGCAAATGCTAAAGAAATTATTTCATAATCTCTTTGATGCTGGGTAAGTCATGGATGTGGTGGTCTTGGAAACCTACTACAGTAGTAAGTTCATTGACCTGCTCGAACAATTCCTTCTGTACAGTATTGCTGACGTGAAGTCTAATGTAACTTTGCATGCCTGACCTTAAAAGAGGATGAGAATTTTTTAACCGAAGATCTGATCATAAATGAAATATCAAACTTGAGATTGCTCAGGCCAATGACACAATGAGGACGACAATGCAATCGTCGATCTTAGCGGTGCGTGCGGATTCGATGTGTGGATTCCGTGGCTCGTCCGAGACGGAGGAATGCTCATGTGGCTCGATTGTCCACATTAGACATGAACAGGTTGCAGAAGACAAACGAGATTCCATATCCAAGGCCGAAGTTTTCATGGCCCATGGGTTCAAGCCGAGGTTGTGCTGTGCTGAGCTGAGCTCACGTCCCTCCAGATCCCACTGGCTCCAGACTCCCTTCATTACGAAGTTTCACCAGTCCATGCGCCAGGATTTCCTACTGGCCCTCCACGACCGGGGACACCGCTCAGCAAGCGCATAACGGTGCACAAACTCGCCCGATTCGGTCACACGTGGACGAGACTCTGAGCTCTAGACTGTAAATGCAGGGCGCTAAGAAGTGGGGGTTTTCTCACCCGCCAGCTCTGAATTCAGGCTTGCGATCTTTAGTCCTTTCCGTAAAGTTGTCAGTTTAATCTGACAACTTTAGATTGTCGCTGTCGTATTAGAGGTCGAATGTTGCTAGCGACGTAGCGCTTTTGTTTCAAATCCACAGAAGAAGAGCTAAATTTGTGACATGAATTGTGAGCTTGGGCTGCACTGCTCGTACAGTCCAAGATAGCTCGTAGGCTGGGCCGTCTGCAGAACTTTGCAGAGGAGCCAAGAGCAGGAAAAGCGCAAAAGGATTAAAGGGATCGTAACAGGCCTGTGGTGGGGAATCTCATCAAAGTCAAACATGGACTCAATATCAATAGTCCATAGGTGTACAGCGTATGTCTCTTATCTTC